AAAGGCCCACCATTTCAGCCCCATCTCTGAATTTTGGGATTCACAGTTACTCTGTGGCTAACAGATCTAATTTGTGACATTCTCATACCTAGTTTCCACTATGCTGTTTTTCAATGATTAGGATCCCAAATCAAATGTTGATGGAGATTTTTTAAAAAATATACTCAATAGTCAGGTCCACATAGGCATCCAGTTTAAGGTGAAGTACCCTATGGTGTGGTTTTAATAGAGTGTCATACCCATTACCTCCAAGTCCTGTATATACAATGTAATGAAGTTTGTTGTATCTTGGTTCAGCAGGTATGTACTCAGAGTGTAACACATACCAGGCTTTCTGTTAGGCATTCAATTATGTTTTAATGAATTAAACATATAGTAAATTATGTCTAATCGTGTTGTCATGAAGGAGCTCTTTCATGATGTTTCCCTCAATGGATGATGTATTTTGGATATATGGTGTCTGATATTTGTATTTCTTGAAATTACTACCATAACTTCAGACATTCACTCAAATTGTTTCACTACCACATATAAGATAAAGAACATTTAAATACACAATTATTTTCTTCTGATTTAGCCCCCAAGTGGAAATACTGGGTCAAGGAGAATGGATATGTTCAAGATATTTTGTTCTACTTTGACAAATTTCTTTCCAGAAGCCTAGTTCCCACTCAAACAATATCAGTGCTCATTTCATTGGTCTTTGGCCAAAAAGTGACTTGATATTTGCTTTATTGATTCATAGTGGTTATTTGCACCACACAACTCTTTTCCATATGGAAGACACTTTTCCCTAATGGGTTTGGCCTTTTGATTTTCATTTCATATTCAGAACACGTGAAATACTTTAAATGCAAATGTCTTTCCTCTTTGGGGGTTTTAGCCATCATTTCTTAATGGGAGAACCATCTTCCCTGTTCCTCAACAAAGCTCCCACTCTGGGACTGACCAGTGGGATCCCAGGGCCTAAGCAAAACCATGGTCACAGCTTTTTATGCTTCACTGCACTATGGAGCTGAAGGGGTTTGCAGGAGCAGTGTCCTGGGCTTCGATTGGTAGATCCACATAATAATATAAAACAGAGTGTCCCATTTCAAAAGGGGCAAAAATGATGCCAAGAAGGTTGAGGCAGGAACTTCAGGCACAGTTCATTGGCTGTGGGAAGATGAGGTTGGGGTTTATTCCCTAAACCCGAGTTTGGCAACATGTTAGGAGTTGTCCCAAGTGCCCAAGGGAGTCCATCTTCTCCAAAAGTCTGAGGCTACTTGATTATAATTTCTTCTACTTATACTATGACTTTTGATTTCAAATTTAAAATATTAACTTGTTTGAATTTTCATATATAAAAAATGAATTATCTTTCTTTATCATTGGCTAGTTATCCATGTATAAATTTGTAAATATTTTTTACTGGTTCTAGGTCCTGTCTATTGTCGAAAGGTAGAGGCTACTGCATGGGAAAAGTTGTAAAATTAGTCCTAGTAAGTAATTAATGAAGTCATTTTAGTTCTAGGATTCTACTCTTTGATGATAGGTCATTTTGAAAAAACAATCTTAATTACATTTAGGTTTGCTTCTAGAATTGGGCAACACTTCATTCTATAAAATACAAGCATTCCCTCAATGACTTTTATTTGTTGGGATTTTAATGTTTTTGCTGGTATATGCTTCCAGTGAAACTCTAAAACCACTTTATTTCAGAAACACCTAAACACAGAAAAAGAAGGGGAAAAAAAAGCTACAGAAATTGTTTGGAATGCAACACGTTTACAATATTTATTTCTTAACTTAGAAAAGAGTCATGTTTTTATAGTTAAGACTTGGTTGGATTTCATCTTCCTAAACACTGATGAGATGCCTTTATATTTATTGAAATTATTCTTCAGTATGTTAGGTATTTTTTTTTTTTTTTGGCATTGGTGTTGTATTGGTGAATGAGATCTTTCCAAGCCTCTCTTCTGGTTTGCTATGGCTCTATACAAAAGCTGTGGTTTGTTTCCTTTATAGTGAGTCAATTTATTTCCTGCTTTCATTAATTTTGATATCCTTTTAGTTTATTCATTTGAATTTTCCAGGTACACAATCATATCATGTATAAGTAATGGTAATTTCAGTCTCTTGACATTCTAATGTTGATTCTTTTAAAAAATTAATCTTATTTGCCTTAGCCAGAATTGCTAGTAAATATCAAATAGTAATGAGTTGTAACAAGCAATTTTTCTTAACCTCTTTAGTTTTTTTTTAACATTTATTCTTGAATTCATTCAACACTTACCAAACACATTCAAACTACTAGATTCTGTGCAAAGTGATGAGGTCACAAGGCAAACAGGACATAATGCCTGTCCTCCAAGAATTTTAATTGAATTGTTTTTGACTTTGAACAAACTATGCTGAACAACATTAAATAACTAGTCCAGCGATTTTGTTCCCAAGAGCAGAGCCAGCCTTAGATAGCCAGGCTTCCCATTTTTTTAAAGTTTATTCTTTTTAGTTATACGTGACGTAGAATGTATTTAGACATATCATATGTGGAGTAGAACTTCTCATTTTTGTGGGGGTACATGATGTGGAGTTACACTGGTCATGTATTCATATATAAACATAGGAAAGTTATGTCCAATTCATTCTACTGTCTTTCCCATTCCCATTGATTTTAGATTTGTTATTAGTATTTGGTAAGATAATCATAAAACTCAGTTCCATTCATGTTCAGTTGAATCAAACTTGGTTGTGACAGATTATTATTGTAAATTTCTATGAATATTCCACATCCTACAACGCAGCTAACTGTCGATGCCATTTACAATGTTTATTTCTTTAAACTGGTTTTGGTAGGCATATTCCCAGGGCCCCTGCCTGGATCACTCTATTACCTAAGACGATGTATCTACAGAGAAGAGATATCATTTGTAGAAAGGGTAGATTGTAAGGAAAAGAATATCTGGAACCTGGGCATTTTAAAATCTCAGATATTCAGGTTAATATGATTACGGATGGATACTTTGTGCTGATGACCATTAGCTTAATTCAGGAAATAGTAGAGTGTGTACCTTCCTAAGAAGATTCTTTTCATAATTGAAAGGCATCAGGAAGGGAGCAGGCAGGATGAGGACCACTGCCATCTTTGGTCCAGCAACACTGGCTACTGAAGCTGCCTCCAGTGTCCCTTGTGTCTCTCCATCAAACAGGACCCAAATATTCCTCTAAATGTCCATGCACTCATGCAGTCCAGGTACTCTGGCAGTTCCAGCAAGAAAACCTCAAAAAGACACACTCTCATCAAAATGGCAATAACTGGTTGTAAGGCTGCCATGCAATCTATACAGGGTGAAGCTAAGGAAACCCGGACTCAGCTTACAATGTGTATAGAAGTGTCCTCTCCCTTCTGTGGACGATGTGATATGTGGATATGATCAGGGATGACTCTAGAAAATGTATCATCAAGATCAGAGGCAGGCTTGGAACAAAACTAACCTCACCCCTATCCCCCAAAAAAACTAAAGGAAGAGATGAGGGGGAAAAGCCCTGTGTCTCAAGTCATTCTGCATTGCTGAACCAGATTACCTGAAACTAGGTATTCTATAAAGAACAGATCTATTTTCACAGTTCTGGATGCTGGAAAGTTCCAAGGTGCTTGTGTTTGGTGAAGGCTTTTCTTGTGGCATGTTCACATGGCAGAAGGTATAAGGGCAAACGAAAGCCAAACCCTGCAAACCTTTTTGATAGGGACAGAAGCCTCATGACCTAAACATCTCACCCAAAGACCCCACCTCCCAACACAGTTGCAGTGGGAATTAAGTTTCTATTGTAGGAATATTGGAGGATACTTTCAAACCTCAGCACCCTGGATTCTGGTTTGATGAGTCCAATCACCTGGAGCCCATCCTCCTCAGGACCTGCAGACAATGAGCTATGCCTTCCCTTTCATTTTGACCAGAATAAAGTATGTTTTCTGGTACTTATAATGAACCACACTGATTGGATAACTAGAAATTCTTCCCCAAATTTCACTGTCCTTTTGTTCTTTTTTCATTGCTATACTTGGCAGTAGGTGTCTACATGAGCCAGAAGTCCTGATAACTTAATCAGATACCCTGCTTATTTCATAGCTTCATTACTGAGCAGAGTGGTCATGACATTAATGACTATCTGACAAAGTTGAAATAAAGGGCTCAGAAAAGAATCCCCAGTAGATTTTTTTTTAAAAGAATCTTTCCCCCTTCTTTTTCTCTTTTTAGAGGGACAGAAATAATGGCTCATCAGACAAATGCCTGAAGATAATTGCTCAAAATATCTAGCCTCTTGGCAGAAAGGGTTTGGATAGTGCTGATGGCCCCGGGCCAGGAAGCTGAGGTATAAGGAGCTGTGCAGTGACAGGGTAGTGTGTCTCTGAGCTGTTTTCTTCATAGAATCTAAAAGGAAGTTCCCCGCAGTATTCAGAACACACTCCATAGGTCATATATTAATACTTCATATGACTGTGGTGACTGGACACGTTGTCTTTGCAAAGTGAAGTTTGTTTATTGCTTGTGATGATCTTAACAGGCAAAATATTACATAGGGCCGTCATACCTACAAGATCTTTACAAAGTGCCTGCATTGAATTGAGCATCAGAATAAACTTCACACATGAGTTTTTCTTGAGTTCTCACTTTCCCCTTCATGGGTAAAGCAGAGCCACAGTCCTTCTGGGTTGGTAGAAATGGAAGCCAGTGGAGGGATATGTCCTGGGAGTTCACATGCCCTACCCTCTATCACCTCTCCTCACTGCCATCCATGTCCACACCCACCCAGGTTCACTGGGCTTAATCACAAGAGTGTATTCAGGGAAAGCAAGGGTCACGCATGTTGAAGAAAATAAGTCCTATTGCCTTTTCTTACAAAATGAGATGAAAAAATAAATTCAAAGACACTTTTTAAGTGTCATTCTTCTTTCAACTTTATATATATATATATATATATTTATATGTTAAAGCTCTTTATTTTTCTTTTCAATATACTCTACTTAGAACTTTAAAAAATAAACTTTCTTTTTGGTACCTCTTGTTTCCTGTGTTAACCTTGGAAACATTTAAAAATATATCTCCCTAGAACTCTTCTGTGCAAATAATAAACATAAATAATATTAATATCTACGTTATATATATATAAAAGGCCATTTCAAGGTTTTCACTGTGACGTTCTGCTGCTGTCCCTTGAAGGTGATCCTAGAAGTAGTCTGTGGCCTGTCCCTGTAAGCCATGTAAGTCCTGATCTGGCTGTGGGGGGCTGGGCGGGAACTCTCCATCCTGCTTGTCCATGTGTAAACTACTTCTGGAGAACTGGAAGACACTTCCCAGCCCACTGACCATTGAGAGGGAGGAGATCCAGTTGAGTGAACCGAAACTGGGCAGGTTGAAGAGGGACGATAGAGGGGGTTCCTGGCTTGTACTGGTGGGTTTCCTCTTGGAGTCCTCAGGACACGCTTCTAAAACAGCCTCCACTGGCCTGGAGGATCCCGGGGCCTGAGCATCCAGTCCCTCCTGCATGGTGTCCTCTCTCAATGGCATGCTTATGTCCACTGTGCTGAGCTCCCTGCTGGTCTTTAGGGAGCAGGATGGCTGCTGTGTGTTCTGAGAAGCTTCTGAGGCACAGTCCTTGGAGAGGGTCTCAGAGGGACTCATGGTCATCCCTTTCGAGAGCTCTGTTTTTGGGTCTCCAGGGAAATGTTTCTGAACTAAGATTTCTTTGTGAGTTTTGGGTTTCTTGGGAAATTTCTTGGCTGACTGGCGCGCCAGCTGAAGTTGGGTTGGGAAGAGGCTCCCCTGGAGGGCTTTGAAAAACAATCTGGAAAGAGCACATGAGAGAAAAAAAAAAAATCAGATACTGCTACAGGTGCCTGTTTCCTGAGACTCTACTCACACAGGGGGAAATGCACAGCCATGCACATGCTCTGTGTACTCACTTAGGACTCAGAGACACCATCTCTGATACCCACCTGGGCAGCAATGCAGTGATAGGTGCTATGAGGCAAATCAAGTAGAACACGGGGTCTCCCAGTAATGTGTGCATGGTCCAATAAGGGTTAGATGGAGGATAACATGTTGCACAGGAGGCATTGTAAATCAAGGCCACGGTGAAAAATAAAAAGATACTAAAGACACAAGCTGTCCAGTTGAGCCAGGTCTGAAGGAAAAACAGAGAGGGGTTTTATTTCAACTCAACAGTGGCAAATAAACCCCAACAGTCATCAGTGAGTGGAGGTGATGTTCTATGGTCTTCGTAAAAACTGGAGTCTTTGTCATGGGTGGCTGGTAGGGCTTAGTGAAACCTCAGAAGCTTGTGGACCAGCCTGGGACAGGGGCATAGGGGCAAGATAAGAAAACAAGACAGTGAGGAATGTTCAGAAGTGTGGGCAGTGGGCAGTCTGCTTAAAAAAAACAAAAACAAAAAACTATATCTCATGGAACCTGCTGGAAGTGTGGGGTCTGCAACATGAGGGCCCCTTTGGGATGTGACCATGTCTGCGACTCTTACCCAGGTTCTGGTTTCAATACCCAGGTGCAGCAGGAAAGTGAACAGTGCGATTGCTGTGATGGGGGTTCCCCAAGTAAACATGTCCACATCTGAGTCATAGTAGGCCTGAAAGACAGCAGTATCCCATGTCTGTGGGTCCCCAGATGCAGCTGATGGGGAAAACTATGCTGTGTGTCAACTTACCAGGTAAGGAATGAAAAAACAAACCAAGCTCTGGAAGGCAGCATCAACCATGTTTAACCAGAAGGCACGTGGCCGATATTCCTGGAACACAAAAACAAGCACGGAGATTATAGGGAAATGCTCATCTCTTCAAATGATGTTTTCTAGGATGCTGCAGCTCTGAATGCCAAGCATCAGACAAAAAACTTGCTCTTTAGGACTTTGGGAAGGTAAGGCTCTAGTTGGTAGACAGAACCCCATTACCCAAATGTTTGCAGAACTGTTTGTAGCTGAGTTGCTCACTGGGATCTTTTGTACCAAGAACACAGGCTATAGTAGTTACAGGTCAACAGTGAAAGAGGAAACTGATTTCTAAATCTTACTAGGGAACATTTCCATCAAGTAGGAAGAACACTTGACATTCTGGGCATTCTCCCTGATTTGAACCCTTCCATCCCTTCCACTTTGTCAAGGTTTGGTGGTGGGTCCCACAGGGTGTTTCTTAAAGTACATCTTAAATTCTAAAACTAGATGATGGATGTGTCCCAATGTTAAAATAAAAAAAAAACTCTCATTCTGATTTAGCTATGATTTGATCAAGTTGGTAAAAAGTTTAGAGGGGGACCTTTGGGACATGATGAAGAACAGATAAAAACCTCAGTGTGAATACTGATGGCTTTATAAAAAGGAGAGAGATCAGAAGAGACATAGCCACACATTTGCCCTCTGTCCCTTGCCATGTGATGTCATGCGCTGCTTCAGGTTTCTGCCAGCAACAAAGTCCTTACCAGATGCAGCGCTTCAACCTTGGACCTCTAATATTGTGAGTCAAATTAGTAGACTGCCTCGATATTTTGTTACAGTAGCATGAAGCAGACTATATACCCATGGGCCAAAATGATCTTGATATTGACAAATGGAATTTTCATTACCTGGGTGATCAAATTTATATTTAACCCACCTAAGTCCTCAAATACCTGACATGGGCTCTGGCCTACAGGAAATGCAGAAAATCAGAAAGAAGCACATACTAGTACTTAAGAAAAGTGCTGGGTACACTCCTCCTATTGGTTACTTTACACACAGGACAAACCTGCAGCATCTTTGCCCCATGGCTAGCCAAGGAGACTGAGGCCAGCTAAGGAGATAACTAGTACCAAACAGAAACCTCTTCATTTGCCTGATCCAGAACCTTGACAATACTGCCCAGCCTGTCAATGTGGAAATCAAATGACCACGGAGGTGGACAGGGGAAGTTTTGTAAGTTTTGTAAGTTTTGTAAGTAAACGAACTCTCAATTAGAGATTATTGTATGATAAACGGGGTATGGCATTCTTTTTTTAAACACACAGGGTGCAAACTTGCCAGAGAAGCACTTAGATGGTTTATTTGATGGCTGGCTGAGAATAGCTGGTGGTTAGTGTGTCAATCTTGTGGTGGTGCTGATGCAAACATATATTTACATCTGTTTATTCTTTCAATGGTTAAATGGTTTTCCCTATGGGTCTGTCTTCTTAATCCCATTGGATCATTTTTAAAACAAAAACAAAAAAACTTTTTTTGGCATTCTTTTAGAAAAAATCCTATCTGAACCTCAGTCATTAGATTCAAGGATCTGGGATGGACTTTTCCTTGGGCTTTTGGAAAGAACTAGGGTGGAGATGAACTCAATATACTTAATGCACACTATCTTTTGGATTTTGAACATTCCCCAAAGGTCGACATATTAAAAGCTTTAATAATGTTCAAAATCCAAAAAACATGGGGTGATGTGGAATCTTTAGGAAGTTGAGCCTGAGAAGGAGGTCACTGGAGGTCACTGGAGTGTGCCCTTTAAGGGATAGTGGGACTCTAGTCTCTTTCTCTTTGTTTTCTGGCTTCTAATGTTGGCCGTTTCCTCCATCATGTGCTCCCCACCATTGCTACATAGCATCCCCACTGAAAAGTAATGGTTATACTTTATCTTGGACTGGAACCTCCAGACCCATGAGCTAAATAACCGTTTTCTTTTATAAGTTAAATATCTCAGGTATTTTGTTATAGAAACTCAAAGCTAGTACAATGCACACTATGGGGTTCAAAGATAGCATCTGTTTTTATCCTTCCATAGGCTGGATTCTAGAATTTTAACGATTTGTGCAAAGTGAGTATTTAAAGGGGACTTGCACTTTCTGGAAGGTGAACATAGAAGCAAAGGGCCAGGAGACTCAGGAAAGCTTACCTCCATATTCTGGCCACTCTTGTAGAGCTGTGGCTTCAAAAGCAGCACATGGGCTGGTACATCCTTGTCCAGCACCCCAGTCACAAGCTGGGGAAGTGACGAGAA